AATTCATCTTAGCTAAGAAAACCCCACACATTTATTTGATATGGGTCATTGGTGACTGCTAATAAAATAAACAGCTTGTGTTTTACATATTTGGAGATATAGTTCTGATAATTGACTCAGTCAAACACACTTCCCAACAGCTGTTAGCCTAATATCAAAAAATGGAAGTAGGTGTGAGCTAAGGAAGTCATTATAAGCAATGCAATTCACTATTAGAATCGATACTGACGGATTTACTTCTCTGCCTTCACTCTACCCTCTTTGCATATACACACTCCTCTCTATACACCTGTGCACAGAGCACCCCTCCAAACAGGTTCCGTGCAGATCCCACACATGTCCTTCCTGGGAAGTACAGGATCCCCTAGGCCACTAAGGACGCGATATGATAGAGCCACTGGTGCCCTAATGCTCCTGTTCACTGAACGACACCACAATGTCCCTCTAAAGTTCCCAGTCATCCTGGACAGTACAGAGTGGAGTCCTACCCGCCCCACCCCGGCCCCAACAGTCAGATTCTGAGTCCCCTAAGCCATTTGAGGATATCTACTCATATACTATAGCTGCTCCTATACTTTCTCTCAAAGTCCACCTTTTGCAGTGGCTGGTGGACATTCTTAGAAATGACTATATGCATGCCTTGCCCCTGCAGTGTGCATTGCTTTCCAAGCCGGAAATTGTTTAAGTGAGGCAGTTTATCACATCCATTAAGTTAAATTGTGAGCTTTGCTTTTATTCCACAGTGTGGGGAGATCAAATCATCCGTATCTGCAATGGGAAGCTTATGAAATTTGAATGTTATTAACTTTGTGCTGAAGGTGCCATGCTTTTACTGAGTTCAGACATAAACTAATTTATTGTCCTAAGGGAAAATGAACGTGAGCAATCATTTATTTTTGATGGTCCTATTTTTTGAGGAATGTACGGTGGCAGATGCTTTGGCCTCGACTGCTGTTTCAAAGCCTTGCAGCATAATGGTTAAACATTTGGTTTTGGCAAACTGAAGTGACTATTGGTAAACCCCATTGTTTTTACTTCATCTGTAAAATGGGGATAGTTATAGGAATATCAGTGTTTTAAGGAATAAGCGGGAAAAGGCATGTTAAGTCCTTAGAGGATTTCACTAGAACATAGCGAATATTTACAAGCAGCCATGGTTGGTTTTATTATCTATCTTAGGAAAACTGGTTAGCAAGAGAAAAGACTCTTTCCGCAAATATTACTTAACCATGCACTCATGGAATTTAGTCTCACAATGGAGACAGGTAATAAGAAAATCAATAAATACACATTATGACAATGCTAAGGAACAATTAACAGACTGGTGAGAACATATAAAGGTGGGGTGGGTGACAAAGGTAGATAAACAGTAAGAGATGGCCTCTATGAGAAGGTGATATTTGTGTTGAAAAATGAAAGGTAAGAAGGAATAAGCCATGACAAATATTGTTTTGGGAGATGAAGAGAAGATTGTAGGCAGCAAGGATAATATATGCAAAGGTACTGGAGTTTGGCCAGGTTTCTGGAGCTCAAAATACTCTCAGGTAGCATGGTAATGTAAGGAACACCATGTTTTCTGTTACTGATGCTTTAGGAGTACGAGATTCCTGCTGGGCTTTATAGCCTGATTAGAACTTAGGGTAGCAGGAGATCCCTATGAATGTAGTAAAAGGAAGGAAAAGCTTTCATGCTACACAGTGGAGATTCACCATACAGGTAATATCAACGGCAGAAGACCCAACGAACAGGAATAGTCAATAAAAAAGTTTCACAAGGTTTCCTTTTGCTGACATATGTGCCTTAGAGGTTTATTTTGACATGTAAAACACTCTGTATTTGACTCATTGCATCCATAAAATAAAAGTAGGCCAAAACATGTACCA